CACTTGATGCAGAGTCAGAAAGAATAGTACAAGAAGCTCTAGACAGGGTCATGGTCAACAGAACTACTGTTATTGTCGCACATCGCCTGAGCACGGTGAGAAATGCAGATATGATTGCCGTAATTCATAGAGGGAAAATGGTTGAGAAAGGTACGGAACAAGTCTATCCAGGATTTGGCTTCTTTCATTGAGAAACTGTTTTTCATAATATGTGCACTTTACACGTTCACAAACTAAAATCAGTGATCCCAAGTTTCTGTCTTTCTGAACTCTCTTAATTTTTAATATATTATTATTATTACTATCACCATGTAAAACGAATTTAGTAACTACCTTAGGGATGACTATAGAAGAAAAGTAAGGCATCCTTTGGTATCAAGACCGATCCTAGAACATAACCAGGCTATAGAGACTGGAATTCAAGTTATCACACTTTGTTTTCTGTATATCTCACTATAACAGAACATGTTGTGTTTATTAATCAGGAACACACTTAGAATTAACCAAGACTCCTGAGGGAGCTTACTCTCAACTTGTACGTTTACAAGAAGGAAACCAGGAATCAGAAGAAACAAGAGACAACCAAAACAAGAGGGAACTTTCCTCAGAATCCTTTAGAAAGTTGAGTCAAAGGCTGTCACTTCGAAGATCAGGATCATCATTGGGGAACAGTAGCCGCCACTCTTTTTCAGTTTCATTTGGTTTAACTACAGGCATTAGCATCCCTGATCCTGAACTTGAAAACTCACAGAAACAAGAAAAATCGCCAGAAGTTTCACTCCGGCGGCTTGCTTCCCTCAATAAGTCCGAGATTCCAGTGCTTCTGATTGGATGTGTAGCTGCCATAGCAAATGGTGTTATATTTCCAATATTTGGCGTGTTACTCTCCAGTGTTATCAAAACATTTTTTAAACCATATCCTGAGATGAAAAAGGATTCCAAGTTTTGGGCCCTTATGTTTGTGACCCTTGGAATTGGATCTTTAATAGCAATTCCAGCCCGAAGTTACTTTTTCTCTGTGGCTGGCAGTAAGTTAATCCGACGAATCAGGCTCATTTGTTTTGAGAAGGTGATCAACATGGAGGTTGGTTGGTTTGATGAGCCTGAGCACTCTAGTGGTGAAATTGGTGCAAGGCTCTCAGCAGATGCTGCATCTGTGCGTGCCCTTGTTGGTGATGCTCTAGGACTACTGGTTCAAAATATAGCAACAGCATTGTCAGGTTTGATTATTGCTTTCATTGCGAGCTGGCAGTTGGCGTTTATTTTTCTTGTCTTGGTTCCCCTTATTGGAGTCAATGGCTATATCCAAATGAAATTTATGAAGGGATCCAGCACAGATGCAAAGGTAAACTACTTCCCCATGGCTATACAATGCTACTCGAATAACTTCTTTATTTAGATTTTGCAACAGATTCTAAGAATTGTAATATAAATTTATGCAGATGATGTATGAGGAAGCAAGCCAAGTTGTTAATGATGCAGTTGGAAGCATAAGAACAGTAGCTTCTTTCTGTGCAGAGGAGAAAGTTATGGAAATATACAGGAAGAAATGTGAAGGTCCCATGAAAGCAGGGATTCGACAAGGCTTGATAAGTGGAACAGGATTTGGTCTTTCATTTTTCTTTCTATTCAGTGTCTATGCAACCAATTTCTATGCTGGAGCCAGATTTGTGGAAGCTGGCAAGGCATCATTCTCAGATGTTTTTATGGTACTAACAACTTTTTAACACTTGTCCAACATTAACTCAAACTGCGTTTAAACTGAGGAAACATTACATTTTCTTCTTGAAATGTTTTGCAGGTTTTCTTTGCTTTAACTATGGCATCTGTTGGAATTTCCCAATCAAGCTCCCTTGCTCCTGATTCTAACAAAGCCAAGATAGCAACTGCTTCCATATTCAGAATAATTGATAGGAAATCGAAGATAGAGCCTAGTGATGAGGTCGGTAACACACTGGACACTGTAAAAGGAGAAATACATATTCGTCATGTAAGCTTTAAGTATCCATCTAGGCCAGATATACAAATTTTTCGAGACTTAAGCTTGACTATCCATTCTGGCAAGGTAAATCTTAATGATATCATTTGTTAGTTGTTATGTTAAACTCAATTTGGCTTCACCAAGCATCTGAAAATGCATGTTGCAACTAATGGTTTGGTGTTCCAGACTGTAGCCCTTGTTGGTGAAAGTGGGAGTGGAAAATCCACAGTGATTGCCTTGTTACAGAGATTTTATGATCCTGATTCTGGTCAAATTACAATTGATGGGGTAGAAATTCAGAGTTTAAAACTCAAGTGGTTAAGGCAGCAGATGGGACTTGTAAGTCAAGAGCCAGTCTTGTTCAATGACACCATCCGTGACAATATTGCATATGGAAAGGAAGGAAATGCAACTGAAGCAGAAGTCATAACCGCAGCAAAACTGGCCAATGCACATGGATTTATCAGTGGCTTACAACAGGTAACAACTAAGACCACTACTACGCATTTTGTTAGCCTCATTATGTCTTTGAGCTAAAGTTTCATTCAAGTGTTGTCTTATTCAGTAATTGTTCACATAGCCAAATGTGATTAGCATTTAACATGTTGTTTTGTCTTTTTCCTTTTATAAGGGTTATGATACAGTAGTGGGAGAAAGGGGAATCCAACTGTCTGGTGGGCAGAAGCAAAGGGTGGCCATTGCACGTGCCATAATTAAAAGTCCAAAGATATTGCTACTTGATGAGGCCACAAGTGCTCTAGACGCTGAGTCAGAGAGAGTTGTTCAAGATGCCTTAGATAAAGTGATGGTGAGCAGGACCACTGTGGTTGTGGCGCATCGTTTATCTACAATAAAAAATGCAGATGTGATTGCAGTGGTAAAAAATGGCGTTATAGTGGAGAAAGGAAGGCATGAGACACTGATCAACATCAAGGATGGATTTTATGCTTCCTTGGTCCAACTTCATTATACTGCTACAACAGCATGATATTGTTTGTCGTAGTGTATTACTTCTTTTAACTTTTTGCAAAAGTTCTCCCTCTTTCCACATTAGCCTTGTGTAGTTCAATAAAAGTGCAATACTTCACCTTTCTTCCCTTTACAGGAGAAAATCCATTCCTTTTCCTTTGTTTGTGCAAATGAACAAGAATGAATAGACAGCCAAAGGGTAAAAAAAGACAAAATTGTACATAAACATAACAGCTTGTTGGAGATATAGCAACTTTTAATAATAATGCATGACAAACATGTGTACTATCATTATGGTAACTGGAGGCCAAGTAGTCTCGTCTCAGTACTTGCCAGTTGCAGAACATGCTCATTCAAAGGATAAAATGTGTGATCAAGTGGAATGAAATTATTCCGGTTTAACTAGTTGTGTTATTTAAAATTTTAACATATAATTGTGTTAAATATTTAGAGAACAAATTTTGTGATGATAATCGTGTGGAGTAGGCACCAACTCGTTGCAACTTTCAGGGGTTGTTCCTCTATGCTAGTTGGGTGCCAGTCTACAGGAGCAGGAAATTCCGGTCCGGGCATTTTTAAATACTGTATCTATCGATTATTCAACCATCACTATTAATCTCTCAAGAGTTAGAACTAATAAATAATATATTCATCGAGAGTAAAGATATTTTGAAAATCTCAAATACTAACTATTTTGAAATTCAGAGAATTATAAATCGTCACGTTGTTCAATTCATAAAGTCAATGTAGGTTAAGTCGTATTAACTAAGAAACGTTGTTTAAAATAATTAAATTCAATTTCACTCTTATTAAAATAACTAGATTCAATATCACTTTGAACAATGATTTGTTATATTAAAAATATCATATTTCTTCATCTCTTCTTTTTTTTATTATCAAGATGGTAAATATTTTTGTTTCAAGTATAAAATAATTAAAGGAAAAAAATATTTCTTACCTTTTTATCTCATCCTATTCTTCTTATATCTCTCTTTAATAGGGATGACAAATAAAAAAGGTCAAACAATCAACCTCAAAATAATAAATTAGATTGGTAATTTTAATTTATTGTTTATTTTAATGAAGGACTACAATAAACTAATCCATTAACCTATTTTAAAAAAAATATTTATATATTAAATTAAAATTAAAATATTATAATTTAAAATATTAAAACTTTTTATGTTATTAAAATATATAAATAAATTATAATTAAATCATAAATACTAATTAATTAAACTTAAATTATTTATTATAATTAATTATTTCTTTAATTTATCTAATAAAAAATTATTAACTAATAAATAAATACTTAAAAAATATTTATATAATTAAAATATATTTTTAAAAAATATATATATATATATATATATATATATATATATATATATATATATATATTTGACGGACAAAATTTATAACTCATATTACCATAATTACCAAAATTATCATTAAAAGTTATTACAATAAAACTCATTATTTTACTTATGTTATCTACCTATTAAATAATATATAGAATAAAAGTGTTGCATAGTACATATGTTCTGCATTATATTTTTCTTTATCTTTAGTAACATTGAAGTTTTTTTCTTTTCTAAAACAGAGTTCGTACCAGAGCTATCTCCATATGTGAAAAACCATAAAACTTATCCCTCACAGCCTTAAGTTTTAACTCACTACGAATTGGTATAAACCATTATTTCTTCTCTTCTCATCCTCAAACTCTTTAGATTTACAATTGTTCGGAGATTAATTCTATTACACTATTCAATTTTCTTTGAAAACTGAACGCGTTTTAAGCTTTCTGTAAATCAAAAGAGATCGTTTCTATATTCTAATCAATGTTCAATTTTTCAAGCCACCAAAAAAGGAATGTAGCAGATACGTAATTCTGAGGTGATTACGATATACCTTTGAGGCTTTTGGTGCCACCGTAGAAGTGGTGGTTTCCACCGTCCTAAATATATGCACAAAGGTTATAAAATGGAAAATAAAAGCCACATGCAAAAAGTAATGGAAATCACGAAAATCTCTAAATATATGTATCAAATTACAAGTCATCGTCACTTTCGTCACTGTATGACACAAGGCCAGTTAGGGCAATTTCACGAGACTTATCAGCTTCGCCATTCCGGAACTGTACCGGTTCCAAAGACTTATTTTTATCATTCGGAGTAATGTTTCCTGCTTTTGAAATTTCCTCAGTATTTCTTTCATCCACTCTGGCTTTTTTAGCTTGGGGCTTGACTTTTATAATCATGCCTAATGGACGAGAGGTTGGATTTTTCTTTAAAGCAGACTTTTGTTCCTGCGAGAGAAAACAGGGTGGTGAAAAGCATGAAAATAGCAACAGAAGCCACACGCATGTTTTTTTGTTTAAAACTGCATGCATTGTTGCAGTAAAACTAATGAATTACACATCCCTTCAAAGATTGGCAATTGAAGGATTAGAAACTATGGCTTCTGAAGATTTTAGATGAGCGAGCAAAAACAGTAGTAGTAACAAGATAAACACGGCTTAGTCGTACACTTAATCCTACTATAACTGTAATAATGTCCCCCAACAATTTCTCGATCAAATATAACCCATCGTTTTTTTATTTGTTACAGTTAAGTCCCTTCATTAATATTATTTTCTTTCTTTCTAAAACTATCAAGGCCATCCCCTTCTGAGTAGTCTAGCATTCAAAGATCTTATTCAGCATGTGATATACCTCAATGCTGGTTCATTGTGTAATTCTTGTAGGAATCAGGAAATCAGTTGCAACATCATTGTGAAGAAATGAAACAGTATTAAGTCAACCCTCACAAAAAATGGTAGCATAGCAAGAAAGTCACCAACCAACCTGGACAACAGGTAAAGGGGTTTTTTCCTTAACTTCATGCACGATGTTGGACTGTGCTTCCACTGCTGCCTGAAATCGACATACAAGAGCAATATAATTAAAAAAATCATTGACCAAATAATAGACTGTTGATGATAATAAATACACTTCAGCAAGGGCAAGTCCAACATACCCCCAGGTAAATTAAATAGAAAGTACAAGGAACTGGCATTTTCATTTTAAATAAAAGCAATTGTCTCATACAGTAACTGTAATGACTTAACTTGAAAGCTTCGGATTTGTTGGGCTTCCTCATCTGCCACTTGTCGTTCATATTCCCGTCTTGTCTGAAAAGTGATTGAACATTAATATTACAAAGAAGAACAACCACTAGAATAAACTTTACAACAACAACAACTTGTTCTTGCATTTCTTTTGTTCTCTATGATGTTAAATGTCATCAAATTGTTTGCAAACTACATAAAATAGCTTTTCCTCGCCTGTAGTCAGTAACGCAATAATACTACGGTCTACACTTCCAGGACCCATGAAATGAAAAATCATGAAACCAGCTCTGTAAAGAGAAAACCAGAACTCACTGCTTCATAATTATCGAGAAACTCAGTCTCATCTTCATCTAAAGCTTTAGGTGGTCCTGCGATAATTAGACGGGTAAAATTCAATACAAGATATCAACAAAACTCTAAACGTAACGTAACTCAAACAAACTATGCGTGTCTCAAAGGGACCAACACCAAGTAAACATGGAAGACTTAACAGGTTCAGTCTCACGAGCTGCCTTGGCAGTTGGCATTACAACACACTATCAGATTCAATTACTGTAAAAAACTAGAAAGCAAAAAGTTCCATTGTACTCCCTAAGTCCTCAGGTGAAGGCCACATGACATGGTTATGCAAATTGCAGAACGATAGTTTAATACTCACTGTGCTTAAACCTTTCATTGAATTCCGCATCCTTTTTGTCCTTATTCTCCTTTAGAATCTGCACTTGAAAGCTTCATAAGTAAGTAATTCCCTCGTAATCCATTCTACGTATTTTCTCAGAAAATCCTGATTTAATTCATTCCTGATAATTACAATGCAAATTTTGCATAACAAGAAATGAGAAAACAGACGTCGTAGAGAGGTCTATCTCTCTGGGCAGTTCCGTCTTCAACTCGTTCACCCCTTGTTCTTTTCGCTTCTACCAGCTGTTCCAACACAGTCAATTGAACAACGATACGAAAAATCAGTAATCGCTAATGAAACCCTAATTTATTGTGCACAATTCGTGTATTCGAGATCGAAGGAGTTTGAGACTAAGAGTGTTGGTTTACTTGATCTTCGGAGACGAAATTCATAATCCTGATAGGACGATCCGAAGTTTCTTCCATGACTTCAAGTTTTGCGAACCGCAACCAAAACTTCAATTCCGAAAAAAGAAAAGCAAAAAAGAAAAGTGAGGAAGCAGCGGAACAGGGACTGTGAAGCCTTTACCGTTCGGTTGCTCGTGGATCTGGTGTACCCTACCCAATTTGTTTACGGGGGCTATTACTTAACTCCAAACACTGAAGAGACATTCCTATCCCCAACGTTTTCAAACATTTTATTCATTTTTATTGTAAAGATGACAACATTCATATTTCTTATAGACAAATTGTTCATTTCTCTTATATGGTCTATATTACAAAATCATTATATTTTTTTAGAAAAATATTTCATCGTTATTTTTATTATTTTAAAATATATAAATTACTACATTTGATATTTTATTTTATTTGATAATTAAATATTATTTATTAATCTTTTCAAATGTAGTAAGTCAAATCATAAATATTAAATAATAAATTAACTAGAGATGCACTAACTTTTTTTATTTCTTATATATTTTTTTACTATATTCATTATCTATTGTCGTATTGTTTTACAATGCTTAAAAAAAACGGTAGTTAAACTTTAAAACGAGTAATCTTTACTAATATTAAATATTTTATGATAAAGTATGTGGTTTCGACGAGAAATTGAAATTATAAAAATTATAAGAATAATTTTATAATTTAAAAAATTTATAAAAATTTAAATTTTACCTAAAAATTTAAATTTCGAATTATTTATATTCTTATCCCAAGTTTATTTTTATATTTTTTTCGATTTGCGTTTAATCAGGGACATTATTGATTCTATATAGATTTTACTGATGATTAAAATTGTGTTAGAGTAATTATGATTATTATTTTATGGATATCATTAGAATTATTGATTTATTGATATAAAGTATAGTTATTTGTAAGTTAACTATGGTTATGATTTTCTTGATAAAAATCAACTTTATTTGTGAATCTCAAATATGATATTTTTTTCTATGAATCTCAACTTATTTTTTAACTATATTACATTTGCTTGTTTTGAAATATATATTTATTAGTTCATCATCATCCAATAAATAAAATGTTAAGAAAATAAAGTTTTTGACTATTTTTATTCATTTTTTTATAATTTATAGAATAGTAATCTTATTTAATTACATAATCATAATTTGTCTCAATTTATTACCATCCTATAAATAAAGAATTTCACAAAATTAATTTTCTACATACTAATATTATTCATCTTGTAAAATATAATTATTAATTTTAATTTTTTACTATGTATTAAATGAATGAAATGTAAAATAATTATTTATTTTGCAATATTAATATAAAAAATATAATGAATACCACAAGATATTTTATCAATTATTTAAGTATTTTAAACACTTGTATTAGTGTATGATTAATAAAACTATATAATAATTTAAATGTTTTGGGTTTTGAACAAAATATAATGATATTTTACCTATAAAAATGTAAATAATTTTGTGTAAATAAATATTTTGAGAATGATTACATCTATATGAATAAGTAATACTTTTTTCTTTGAATTAAATAAACCTAACTAAATTTAACCATTCAAATTATAATTATTTTATAGTGTCTATATGATACATGTTTATACTTTTTTATAATGCTCACATTTTAAAATTACGACTTTGCTTTTTTTTATGTATATATATTTAGACAAATATCAAAGGTTTATTGTGACACAAATTTTAATCCATTTCGTCACGTGTTTCCGTGCTGAGTGCGGTGAAGTAAGCGTTGGAGGTCACGTGAACAAGTCCTCGTGGAGGATTTGTCGCAGGTTAGCGAGTAGCAACGTGCCAACAAGGAACCGGAACACGTAAGATGAAAAAACCAATGTTTCACTCGTTAGCGCGCGTTGTTTTTTTTTTTTCCCTCGCGTGTGAAAAATATCAAACCCCACCCTTCCCCAATCCAAATCCAGTTACGAACAAGGGGACATGACTTTATAGCACAAAGAACAGCGTTTTCTCTAATCTCACTAGCGGGACTCGGAATTAACAAGAGTGCCCAAAAGTCAACAATTTTGATTCCTGCCCTTTTCGTCATTACTTCTTCTTTCGTTCCCCCAACATTTTCCTCGTCTCTCTCTCTGGTACGCAAATCCACTCTTTCTTTCTTTAGTTATATTCCACCAAATCTTGATCTCTATTTCAAACCCTAGCTCATTTCTTGAATTTGGGATTTGGTTTATCCTCTGCAGAGGGGATCTATGACCAGCTGATGATGGATGGTGACTGGGAACCCTTTGATTGAGTATCTCAGCAGATTAGGTATTTAGTTGGGGAATTATCATTGCCTGCCGAATGGAATATGAATCTTGATTACTGTGTTTTCTTGGTAGTATTGGACTTGTGACTGTTTTCTTGTTAGTGGCCTTCTTGATTTTCAATGGCTAACCCAACACAACCTAATGTTGGGTTCACTCCTGAGAGAGAGAGTGCAAACCTTGAGAAGAGTCCAATTCCGCCCCCTCCTAGTTTTGTAGCGTCACCACCTGGTTTTCCTTCATCAAAACTGCATTTACAGCCAGATCAAGCTCCTTCCCGTTCCGTTAAAACCCCTAACGTTTTATCACCAGCCAATGGGGTTGCCACAGGCGGTCCTGTTCCTCATTTGAGCACCCCTCCTGGACCTCCGGTTTTTACATCGCCTGTCCGTCCAGCTGCCGTTCCTTTTCGCACGTCACCTTCATCCCCCCAGCCTCTTGCATTTTCGTCAGCCTCTTCTTTGCCAACATCATCATCACCACTGCAATTTTCAAATGGATCGTTTGAGTTGCAGCACCAAGTTTCTGATAGTATGGACGACCAGGTTCCTGTTGCAGAGTCATCCTTTGTTCTTTTCTCAGCTCATAAGGTATATATGTATGCTCTTGTTTCTTTTTTATTCATAATCAAGGCATGGAAGCTACCATTCATTATTTTCAAATTTTTAATATATATTAACTTTTCCCTGCTATCGGCTAAGTAGGTATTGAAACAGAAGAAACAAGCTAATGTGCCCAGTTTGGGTTTTGGGGCATTGGTCTCTCCTGGGAGGGAGGTTTCAATGGGCCCCCAGGTAATACAGCGTGATCCTCATCGCTGCCAAAGCTGTGGGGCTTATGCAAATATATATTGCAACATATTACTTGGATCAGGCCAGTGGCAGTGTGTTATATGTCGGAAATTGAATGGAAGTGAGGGGGAGTACATTGCACATAATAAGGAAGATCTTCACAGATTTCCGGAATTATCTTCAACCATGTTTGACTATGTTCAAACCGGGAACAAGAGACCAGGTTTTGTTCCAGTTTCTGATTCTAGAATGTCTGCCCCAATTGTTCTTGTTATAGATGAATGTTTAGATGAACCTCACCTGCACCATCTACAGAGTTCTTTGCATGCTTTTGTTGATTCTCTCCCACCAACAACGAGATTAGGAATTGTACTATATGGTCGTACTGTATCAGTGTATGATCTTTCAGAAGAGTCAATGGCATCTGCTGATGTGCTTCCTGGGGACAAATCACCAAGTCAAGAATCTTTGAAAACATTAATTTATGGTACTGGTATATACTTGTCACCAATGCATGCTTCACTGGCTGTAGCTCATTCCGTATTTTCATCATTGAGGGCATACAAGGTGAGTATACCAGAAGCTTCTCGAGATCGGTGTCTAGGAACTGCTGTTGAGGTTGCTCTTGCTATAATTCAGGGCCCATCTGCTGATCTGTCCAGGGGGGTGGTCAAAAGGTCAGGGGGAAATAGTAGAATTATTGTCTGTGCTGGTGGGCCGAACACTTATGGACCTGGATCTGTTCCTCATTCTTTTAGTCATCCTAATTATCCTTACATGGAGAAGACCGCAACTAAATGGATGGAAAATCTTGGTCATGAGGCTCATCGGCAGAATACTATAATTGATATTTTATGTGCTGGAACATGCCCTGTAAGAGTTCCTATCTTACATCCTCTTGCAAAAACATCAGGTGGAGTTTTTGTTCTCCATGACGATTTTGGGGAAGCCTTTGGTGTTAACTTGCAAAGGGCATCTGCCAGATCAGCAGGCTCTCATGGTTTGTTAGAATTGCGCACATCAGATGATATTGTCATTACTCAAGTTGTCGGCCCTGGGGAAGAGTCACATGTAGATACCCATGAAACATTTAAAAATGACACTGCCCTTTATATTCAAATGCTAAGTGTTGAAGAAACACAAAGTTTCTCTCTCTCCATGGAAACCGAAGGAGATATAAAAAGTGATTTTGTCTTTTTCCAATTTGCAATTCAATATTCAAATGTGTATCAAGCTGATGTGTCGAGGGTCATTACTGTTAGGCTGCCAACAGTAGATAGTATTTCTGCATATCTTGAGAGTGTTCAGGATGAAGTGGCCTCTGTCCTTATTGCAAAAAGAACCCTGTTACGAGCCAAAAACCAATCTGATGCAATTGATATGCGATCAACAATAGATGAAAGAATCAAGGATATTGCTCTAAAATTTGGTTCCCAATTACCTAAATCAAAACTTCATAGTTTCCCAAAGGAGCTTTCTCTCTTACCAGAGCTCCTTTTCCATCTCAGGAGAGGACCACTTTTGGGAAGCATTATTGGCCATGAAGATGAGAGGTCTGTGCTGAGGAATCTGTTTCTGAATGCATCCTTTGATCTATCACTCAGAATGGTGGCTCCCCGATGCTTAATGCACAGGGAGGGGGGAACTTTTGAGGAGCTACCGGCATATGATCTTGCTATGCAGTCTGACGCTGCTGTTGTACTTGACCATGGCACCGATGTCTTCATTTGGTTGGTATGTCTCCTGTTGCCTTTTTCTAGGTTGACATAATTGTAGTTGAAGATTTGGACCATTTACTTGTAGTCTCTATCCCATTTTGTGGGGGTGGGGAAGTTTTTATGCCACATACCTTAGTGATTAGGTTATTCATGTTGCTTTCAAATTAGATTCATGTGAATGATGTGCAATGGTGTGTGGTGCAATTGCACCGAGCCACAGAGATTATCTGTCCGTTGTTTTTCCTGATTTTATTTTTTGTCTTCCTTTACTGTTAGAATTGAGTGGTATGTTTTAGTCACAGTGTCTATTTTCACATGAGGAATGCTAGCAACATGCTCTTAACACAATTTCTTTTGTGATTGAAATTTGTTGGAAATTACAAAAGTAGGGTTCCATTTATTTAATGAGAGTTTCATACTCATGATTTTATAGTTTCTAATAAATTTAACTAATTGTAGAGTGTTAGACCAAGTCTGATGTTAACTAAAGACCAAAATTTATTTTTGGTCTCCCAATTTCAACTGTTACAAAATGAGATACCGAGATCAAAAAAGATAAAAGGAATTAACAGGAAATACTCAAGGAACTCTCTATTTCCTTCCCCAAGCCTAAAGCTGAATTGTTGTCATTGACTGATTAACTCCCTTCCTCCCTCTCTCTATAAAAGAATCTCTCTCCCCAACCTCATGTTCTACCTTTTCTCCTCCTAGAATATACTTACAGCCACTTAGTTTCATGCTTCATCTGCTTAACCAGTAATATTTCCTTATCCCTGAATTTATTGACTCAAGGGTCTCATCACAAAACTCCTTTTGCTAATGTGGTATCAAATTTGATGTGAGGGACCCTTTCTTATTCACTTCAGAAACATGGATAATTAGAGATGACATTAAACAATGCCTTATCAGCAACAGTGTCTGTGCGGCAAATACAACGTCAATTGCATACTGAAAAAACCATGCGGGCAACATTGTTGTAATTCTTCATTTGTGGATATTGAAACTGAAATCGATAAAATTAATGAAACCAAAAGGGCCATTGATCCTGTAATCTGTGATTATGAATATTCTACTAATATTGAATTGTGTTGCAGTTCATATTTAACATTTTTGTTTGGCTTGTCTCCAGATTCTTTCCCTCTTTAGGATTTTCATTTTCTTTGTACCATTTATATTGTAACATTTATGTTTTCTAAATATTGATGAATGGATCCTAGGGTGCCGAACTTGCTGCTGATGAAGGAAGAAGTGCTGCTGCTCTAGCTGCTTGTAGGACATTGGCTGAAGAACTGACTGAGTACCGTTTTCCAGCTCCTCGCATCCTTGCATTTAAGGTTTATTTTCTTTAGTGTTCACACCAAACCTAGTTTCTTCTTCTGCCTTTTATGATAACCTATAACAGTCAGTTGACATTTGAAACAGGAGGGTAGTTCCCAGGCTCGATATTTTGTCTCTCGTCTCATTCCAGCTCACAAGGATCCTCCTTATGAGCAGGTAAACAACACTAGCACTTTACTCTTAATTCAGAGACTCAAAAAAATTGTGGGAAAATTGATTTTGTTGGAAAAGGCTTTCGTAGTGATTTTCTTCAAAAAATGTCTACGACTTTTCAGTTGCTCCAGACCTCTAATGACATATTGAATGGTGATATTTTGTTGTTGCAGGAGGCAAGATTCCCACAACTCAGGTCGTTGACATCTGACCAGCGGACAAAGCTGAAAGCAAGTTTTGTTCACTTCGATGATCCTAGTTTTTGTGAATGGATGCGAGGCTTGAAAGTGGTGCCACCACAACCAAGCTGATGATGAGACCTAAAGGGTCTTTGGCGCTGCTTCGTTCAACTCGTTGGTTATTATTTGTTAAGTTAGTGAAGCCAAGTTTGTTTGCATGATTTGTGGGGAACACAGTGTGATTTTGCAGATGCCTCCCCAAGACTCTCGCTTCAATGCCTCCTCCCATTCATTTTGTTCACTTCCAAGAAACGTCCAAAAAAGTGTTTTTTTTTTTTTTTTTTTTTTTTTGGGGGTGGGGGTGAGGGATGACTGTGACAAAGATATTTTTCTCCATCTACGGTCAAGATGTTACCATAGAGCAATAAAAGGATTTCTCGTTATTTATATTTATACCACTTGCTGATTGCCAAGTGTATTCTTCAATCTCTGTTTATTGGAATGTTTTTCTTTTAGCCTCCCATTCCTAGTACACCCTATTGTTTTAGATTTTGGTGGTGAATTTATCTTGGTGACTGATTACGACAAGAAATTTGATTTGGTTTATAAATAACTTGTGGTTGGAAATTTGTATTTTTTATTGTGTTATACTAGGGAGGCGATACAATAACAACATAATTTATTACGAGATTAATGTTGTTGAGCATATAACACTATCATTCAAATGAATATCAATTTTTCAGAGATATTAATTAGAAGATCTTTATTAATAGTTTCTTCTAATGTTTTTCAAGATTTTCTTTTCCTAGGACTAAACCCATGTAATTGCTCTTCCTGATTGTTTTAGTTTTCTAGTGACATTTATTTTATGTGAACAATAAGTTAATGATTTTTTTTGTGATTACGATAATGTTTGGATCAAGTTATGAGTAGAAAAGATAATATATATATATATATATATATATATATATATATATATATATATATATATAAATTGAAATTAGTTGAAGAGTATTAAAAACTTATAAGAAAATATTTTTAGGTATCTTAAACTTTTAGGTAAGTTCTATCTTACGTTTACAGTTTTTATTTTCATGGTAGGAATGAGAAGGTTACAATTTAATTAAATATATATAGGAATATCTTTTATGATTGAGAATAAAACATCATAACCGTTAATAAGCATTTTTAATATGTTTATATTTTTATATTGGTAAATGATTAATTTGGTTAAGAAAAGAAAACGCAATGAATTGTGAAAAAGGTGATTAAATTCATATTTTTAATATTTAAAAATCAATTTTATTAATGTAAAAATGGATTAAGAAATAATTTCTTACACTGTTTTGGTTGAAAATATAAGGATATAGAATTTAAAAATTTTGATGATGATGATAAAAAATAAAAGATTTCAAGATTAGAAAATTCTTATATATTTCTAATAGTTTATAATAACTCTGTAATAGTCTTATACTATGCGAAAATGATTTTATTATTTTATATTATAATATTAACTTATTTTGTTTTGGTATTTTAAGTAAATATAAACATACTTTTTATTAACATGATAATTCTTAATTGATATGATTCAATTATAAACTAATTAATATAATTAAACATTTAAAGTCATTTAAATATAAAATAATTTGTGAAAAACACTATCTTTTTATAATTCGAGATAAAGATCTGTGAAGACGCTATTTTTTTATTTTTATGAATTGACATAAATTTATGAAGACACTATTTTACTAGTGTATATTTTGTTATAAATAAATAGTTCAATTAATTAATTAATGACTAAAACAAAATAAAGAGCGACAATAACCCACACTTTACATTTACATTGAGCGAGTGAGTAAAAAAGTAGGAGTGTAAGAAATTAGAAAGCAGGCACAGCACAGCACTTTATCTGAAAGCAAAAACCCTAGGGTCAACCGTAGTGACACAATCGCTCTCGTGCGTTTCGTTCGCCTTCGGCATCTTTGCAACGGGTAACTCGGAGCTTGCATTTCTATCGCGAGATGGTTTTCTGCTTCGGTTCCTAATTTCAACATTTTCCTTTTCTGCCGTGCAGGATCAGGTGCTTGTCCTTCACCATGGCGGGGACTGAAGCCAAAAAACCTTCCGCTAAGCAATCCGGTATTTCGCATTACTCATGCGTGTTCGTGCTTCGTGTTTATCTGTCTGTATGCTCCTTCTTCTAATGGCGAACGAACTAAGCCTTGCAGGTGCGAAGAAGAAGGAGGTAAAGAAGGAGACTGGGTTAGGTCTCACTCATCGGAAGGCGGATAACTTCGGAGAGTGGTATTCCGAGGTATTTTGAGCCGTTTAATGGCATCTGTTTGTCGTTGTGGCCTGATCTGTTTTCGGTCAAAGCTGCTAGTTCATCGTGATCTGTTATTGTTTCAGTGTTAACAATTTCGGTAGTGTGTTGTGTTGGTTGACTTTGGATTTGGATAAATCTGGCAGGTTGTTGTTAATGCGGAAATGATTGAATACTATGATATATCTGGTTGCTATATTCTGAGGCCTTGGTCAATGGCAATATGGGAGATCATGCAAGTGAGTTTCACAATTCTTTTTTGTTTTGGATAAAGAGTGAGTGAATGAGTCTGTGTATTGTGTCTGAAATTTCACTCAATGCATGAGTACTAGATTTCAAAAATATGCATACAGCAGATTTATTTCTTTTAGTCTTTCCATAAGTCAGAGTTGCTTTAATCTTGAAAACAATGTGCAGGAGTTTTTCGATCCGGAAATAAAGAAAATGAAAATCAAGAACTGCTACTTCCCTTTGTTCGTGTCTCCTGGAGTTTTGCAAAAGGAGAAGGACCACGTTGAGGGTTTTGCTCCTGAGGTGAGAGTTTGTGAATTTGTGGGCCGTGTAATGTTGACTATTCAATGAGTTGGATTAAGCCGTTTTTAACTAGCGAATATTATCCCTGAATATTAGGAAGATTGATTTGGTTGTAAATACTTGGAGATTATTGCATTCTTATATCAATTATTTGTTCAATGGTCTGTGACTTTCTTGATCAGGGGGGCATGCTATACTATATACACTGCTTTCTGTTGTACAATACAAAATTTAGTTGTACAACGTTTGCTTCATTTAGCTAATGAAAGTTTGATGAGTGGAAATGGTTGTTTATTACTACTTGCAGTATGATAATCTAAATAACTCCATTTCCTTCCAGAAGGACATTTTATTTTTGAAAACAGTAATACTTGTCTGATTGTCTTACTCATCTGTCAGGTTGCTTGGGTGACCAAGTCTGGGGAATCGGAATTAGAAATCCCTATTGCTATTCGTCCAACTAGTGAAACTGTCATGTATCCCTACTACTCCAAGTGGATTAGGGGACATCGTGACTTGCCTTTGAAACTTAATCAGTGGTGTAATGTTGTTAGATGGGAGTTCAGCAATCCCACACCATTCATCAGGTAGTGAATAGTTTTTTCTTTTCTCTACCTTTTTCTTTTGGGCAATGGCATATAATGATTTGTCGGCTGGTATGTATACAATAAATAATTTCAAAATTTAATTAGAGGCTTCAAATTTTGGAATATTCAGCCTCTGTATGTATATCTCTTACACTATGCCTTCAATTTCTGCCCGTTCATTTATGAACAGATGTTCCCCTAGTGGTGATTATGGTGAATTGGTCATAGTGAAGGATGCTTGTAATTCAATTTTTGGTTTTTAATCTTAAATTTGCAATATATAATAATTGTTATGTTATACATATTATTTATATATAGATGGCGAGACTTGGTCTTGTGACCTAGTGGTCATGTGATATGTCCTGAAAACATCTTTTTTGCTTGCTGGGGTAAGCTATCTACGTTTATCCTCCCCAGATACACTAAGTGGGAGACTTGTGCACTAGGTTTCCCTTATTAAATATCAAATAGTTAATATGGTGTAAGATACTGTTGCTGTCATGTAAACTAATTAATATTATGGAACTTCTTTCTAGTCTATTGCCTGGTGCTTATGCAAGTTCTGATTGCAGGAGTCGTGAGTTTCTTTGGCAAGAAGGGCATACTGCTTTTGCAACAAAGGAGGAAGCAGATGCAGAGGTATGGCACCAAATAGGTTCTTTTAGGAATTTTCTTTTTTGGTCTCATTGTATAACCTGCATTGATTTTGTCATTTTTTCTCTTTAGATACTTAATGAAGAGTTTTTAAGGCCCTTCCCTCATCTTGTGCTTTATTAATAGTTCCCTTTTAAAGGAAAACCATCAACCGTGTCACTATGTTCCTTTTCTTGAGGTTCTATAGTACTTTAATCTTTTGCTTCTGGTGCACACTATATGCATATTACTTTGTATTCTCCACTTAAGCACAAGGGTTTCCTATCATTTGGATTATATTTCCAAATTATGCTAAACATCACTGTTTCAGGTTCTTGACATTCTGGAATTATATAGGCGTATATATGAAGAGTATTTGGCAGTTCCTGTCATAAAGGGAAAGAAAAGTGAGCTTGAGAAGTTTGCTGGTGGGCTTTACACTACCAGTGTTGAGGTACACATCTGACATTCTCTGCTTGATGTCATTTTAATGGTTATAAAATTTTGATGTTCAATTTTGCTAGGCATTTATTCCAAACACTGGTCGTGGTATACAAGGTGCAACTTCTCATTGTCTGGGCCAAAACTTTGCTAAAATGTTTGAGATTAACTTTGAAAATGAAAAGGGAGAGAAATCAATGGTCTGGCAGAACTCCTGGGCTTATAGTACTCGAACTGTAAGCTTTGTTTTCTGGAATATACATGCATTGGAGGATTCTTCCGCATCATATTGCATTTATTTATTTATTTATTTTATTTTGTTGTTTTACAGATTGGGGTTATGGTGATGGTTCATGGTGATGACAAGGGATTGGTATTGCCTCCTAAAGTAGCATCAGTACAAGTCATTGTGATTCCTGTGCCTTACAAAGATGCTGATACTCAAGGAATCTTTGATGCCTGTTCTGCAACTGTGAATACATTGTCTGAAGCAGGTATTCGTGCTGAGTCAGATTTTAGAGATAATTACTCTCCGGGATGGAAGTATTCTCACTGGGAAATGAAAGGTGTTCCCCTTAGAATTGAAATTGGGCCAAAAGATTTAGCAAATAAGC